CCGCAGCCCCCCCCCCCCCAGCCCTCCACCTCCCGATTACAAAACAAAACTCGACTGACTTACCAATGGTGGTGATCACAGTGATGGCGAAGTAAAAGGAGCCGGCGAATTTCCACTGCACGCCGGCTTTGTGCGGCTTGAGCTGCAGCACCACCTTCTCCAGCACGTCAAAGTCCACCGCGGACAGGTTGAAGGTGTGGAGCAGCTCGGCCCGGCGCAGGGCCACCTCTCGCCTCTGGCTCGTCTCCGTCTGCGACTCCAGCGCGTCGAAAATGGCCGCGCCCACCATCAGGTAGGTGAAGGTGCAGACGATGAGGACCAGGGTCCGCACGTTTTGCCTCTTCATGGCTGCTGCGTGTCAGGGGGACGGGCCGAGAGCGAGCGCGGGTCTGGACGACGGCGAGCTGGGCTGGTTCATGGCTGTGCTGCTCTTCTGGCGTAGGGGGGGGGGGAAGCTCCGTCTTGTACTTTAGGAGACTGGAGCTGTCCGTTCAGCACTACCCCACCCACCCCACCTTCCTTCTGGGCCCTGCCTCCACGTACGGTACTCCCCACCCCTTGGCACATGCCCCCCACCCCCACCCCTCCCTCCCGTGGCACATGTGACCAGAAAGGCAAGTAATCCTCCTTTCAAACACTTGGTGTGAACTCAGTTTGATGGTGTAAATGCCGAGACACAGTCTTCATTGTTATTTTTCAACTATTCTTTCACTAAATTAGCATCGTCTCCGTTGAAGACCAGTGGTGGGGTGTAACAAAGTCACACTTTACTTGAGTACACTATACTTTGACTTAAAAGTCGTCCACTTTGCAAGTTTTTCATGTTATGAGAAGTCACACGGTCAATTTTTAAATCACTATTATTATTATTTTTTCCCTGCTTTGAGTTGTGAGCAAAAATTCGACGTACGAGTGAGCTTCAGGCACTCGGCCACTAGATGGCAGAAGTATACTTAAGATGTGGACAAAATCAGTTCAAGTTGGCTACTTTGCAGACAAAGAGTAGGCCCAGTTGTGTTTTATGGCCACATTTTCCATTTTTGCCCATTTTTAAAACAAGATGAACTGCTGTAAATGCTCTCCTTACTCACATGTGAGGGCATTTGTCCTGTAAAGGTGCAGTTTTGAAATTATTATTCACTGAAAATGACACATGAATGCCCCCAAAAGAACTTTTTTTAAACGTTAATTAACGTCACTAAATAGATGCCACTAGGTTAGTCAAAATACAAAGCTGTTGAAGTTACGGATTTTGGGGAATTAATGTGTGTATTGTCTTATTTTTGTTGAAAAAAAAAACCCATTAATTTCCATCATTATAAAAGAAAGCACTCTACTCAATCTTAAATTCCACATCATGAGCCATGCCACAAATAGCTCTGGCTTCGACAACCAGGTCAGGCAAGTCAGCTGTGACTGAGCCCGCCTAACTCATCCAATCAAATCCTGGAATCCTGTCGGCACCCGCCCAATCAATACATTGCTTAATCCATGACACTTTGATCACAACGGAAGCTTTGAAAGCCTCCCTGCGACGACCAAAGGTTCTCGATCCAATCAGTCTGGCTCTCCCTTCATTCCGGCTGTGCGAATGAGGCGTCAACCTTAAGAAACAGCTGTGGTAGAGATTCATGATAAAATGAACGAGAACTGAATATCACCAGTGAGGTACGTGGACAGTTATAAGACGTACCAAAAATCACGTCTTGATTAGCTGATGAGCTTGGCTAATTTTTGCATGAACAACAGCACATTTTAAATGCACGTTATTCCGTTTCTCCAGGGAGTGCGGTGTGGGCTGCTTGCAGCATATCATACAGACCTGCAGGGCATCAACTTCGGACAAACCAGCCCACAGTATCCTGAGCCATCAGAATTTTCCCATGGCAGGTTCTGACCCCCGGCGCTTTCGGGATAGGAGATAAAGCCTGGATCTTCATTACTGCGATTTTGGAGAGGCTGCAGAATCAGCACAGAACTCTGCAATTGGATGCTCTTTGAACCTGTGGCTGTTTGGCGTGGTAGATCTCCATTAAGTACACTTTCTTACTGCAGCAAAAATAACAAGTGCACAGCAGAAGTAGTTTCAAACGTGCATTCCGAAAGTACTTGTATAACTTTACCATCGGCTGGATAGCACAAGTCACAACAGGAAAATCTCCAGGGGCGTTCGCTTCAGTGCCTTTCTGTAATTCTTCCAGTCTCTGTCTGCTGCGCCCTAATGAAGGCCTCTTCTCTCTGGGGACATCCTGTTTGCAAATGGTGAATAAGGTGTGGCATTGGTCACACAATGTCAAAATATTAATCGTGCAGGGTCTGGCTACGGTTCCACATAAAGCGCATTGAGTCGTTCATGCATCCGGTGCACGGTCACGTTACTTTTTGCTGTGCCGGAGGTTTTCGAGACTGACTCAAATATAGCTGGAACGCACATTATGTAATGACATAATACAGTATGAGGACATCCTTAAGGCAAAGCCGCCGAGACAGGAGCCATCAAAGGCCCTGGCTCCATCCGTCCATGAGTCTTGACTGCCAAGTTGCAAAGCATCCTGGGAAGGCTGCCCTTCAGCTTCAACACAGCCCGCAGCTTCCCGCTGACATTCAATTAAAGGCTCGCTTTTGCTCTGCCTTCATGACTGTGTCGCCGCTCCTGCTGTCCGTTGATAATTATTCCCAACATCCGCCCAATTCCGGTTCATTCGACTTATTAGGCTTGTTTATTGGCACCCCGATGGGCCAGGCTTCACCTGCACGTGGCTGCTCCAGTGAAAATAAAAAACAGTGGATGACTGTGAGTGTGGCTGGCAGGCCTCAGGAGACAATATATACATCTCTATATACACCTCCGCTGACTGTGTTTGCAGCTTCAGACACATCCCATAGCTCCCGCACGGATACATTTACAGTTCGACACAGCATGTATACATTTGTCAAGAGATGTCGGGAGCCTCCGGGCTGCACATGTGTGTCCTACTCGGTCACGTTTTACAGCGTGGACGCATCAGTGGCATGCCGTCTTGTACGTTCAGAAATATTTGCACTTCCATCAAGCAGGTTGGAAAAAGTCTGTTTGGACAAGGAACGTAGTTGGATACAAAAGTACTTGAGTAACAGTATACATGTGCTGTATGTGACTTCATGTTGCCTGCCACGGTTTGTATCGACACCATCGTCTGTCAGACAAGTATCCAAATCGCATACCGTCCATATGCAGTTGTGGAAAAGTTTATGAGGGAATCTTATTCAAAAACAACAACGGAAGCAAACGGAAGCCCTATATGACATCCGGGCCGTCTACCAATCCAAAGCTGACAGGAGCTTTCGATACAGCACGCTGAGGATTGTGACACGTCGACTGAATAATTCATGGCAGATTTATAAGTGACTACACTGAGTCTCATTGGGAGGATGTGACTATAACTGTCAGCTGATGAATTCTTTAAGCACACCTTTCGGTGGCTCTGGCAGGTGTATTATTTAGAAGTCGGGGCTCTGTCAAGGTCCAGTTCTCTCTTGAAAGAGACTAATTAACTCCAACAACCTCGCTGGCCACCGAATATTGTCATGCATCTCACCGTTGACTGTTGTAAATCATTTCAGTGATCCCAAAGTGCCGTCCGTCTTTGTTTCGCAACAGCGCACATTGACTTCAATGTTTTGTTTTCAAACGAAAGCTTTAACTGAAGTGAGAAGAAAGCTTTAACTGAAGTGAGAAGAACACGCATCATGAGAACAGGAAGTGCAGCAATGTGTACCATCCACCTAAGCGGTCATATGTCGGCTTGGCTGAACTGTGGACACTGTGAGAAGAGCACTCTGCTTATGTACATGCCACACGCACACCCAGAAAAGCACATTCACAGCAGGGCAAAGATAAACATTGAGTGCTAGCCAGTGACCAGGGGATGTTTGTGTTAAGTCAAGAAAAGGCCGAAGGTCAAAGATCAAGAGTTCCAGCACATTATCACGTTATCACGTGACACGGTTGGACGTGAAGGAAACCTGACTGAAATTTATCTTCTTGTGACGACGTCACGTCTTGAACGTGTTCTCACTGAGCCTCCCTTATCACCGTGAAAACACTCGGGAACACGTGGAACGTGAATTTAGTATGGTGATTCTGAGGCAACACTGCTATCTTGTGGATACTTTGATTTACGCGCCATCATCACTCCGGTAATGTAGTAAGTAGTCCTTATGCGATTGTTACTCACATCTCCAAACAGGTAGGATTCCGCATGCATGCATGTGTTATTTATATAACTTTGTGTTTTAATTATTGGGTCAATTACCATTTCATACTTGTTTTCCTTATGAATTTACCGTCATTAAAATTACAACGAACGGGTAAAAACTTTGACTAAAAACTTTTTTAACAGAGGTAAGCTGTTCAATAAGAAATATCTCGCTTTGAACCGATGACGTTTTCCACAAGCTGATATAACTTTTTAGAGGAGATTGAACCTTTGATTTTACAATTTCATCTCCATTCAAGTAATTGCAGTTATCCAGGCTAACCGCAAGAGGGCGACCAAACTCAAACGCCTCTTAGTTCATTGATTTGAATGCTGGTTTGAGAAAAAGTGAATCGTTGTTAAGATAATTTCCCGAGTGACAATATATTTTTTTTCTTTTCCACCACTGAAATTGTGAAACTTCTCAATTGGCGTGGCTCCCCTCAGCTTTGAAAAAGTTTGCGTTCGTCAAAACGAGGCGGCGCTTTGCACTCAGACTATTTTTTTTTCACCACCCCTTTCACACACTCGCCGTCTGTCTGCCACTGGGTGCGGAGCGTGCGTTCGTGGAACAACCGAGCGCCATGGAAGGAGTGTACAAGCAAGGAGAGGAGCACACCCTGTCCCCGTTTGTCACGGCGGAACCGGAGAGTCAGAGGCGGACGCCGCCGAACAGGAGCAGGCGTTGTAAAATCATCTGTGCGGTATGTTTTGCACAATACATCCTGAGCACCCGCTTAAATTTCATTCGTCAGCAAAGACATTTTTTTATTTTTTACCTTTGCGCCCAATAACTGTTTTGTTTTTTTTTTTTTAAGTAGTTTTAAGCCTTGTCTGCTCTGTTCCGTTTTGTTTAATTGCAGTCCCCCCCTCTTCACTGGTTAAACATCTCATGTCAAACTCGAGAGGTGGGAGGTAACAAAGTCCAAATATCTTGTTACTTCAGTTGATTTTTGATTTGGCATTCAATGACCTTTTGCTCACTACATTTGAACACGTATCGGACTGTACTTCTAATCTTGACTTTGTCGTAACCGACCTTAGTTACTTTTTCAACATTAACATTGATAGCGAGAGGCAAGAGTCACTGGTGTTTGAGGTGTTGTTTGAATGAGATCTTGGGTACTATAAGGACAGCAGCTTCATGGAGGAGCGTGACGCAATAGATTCGGAGAAGTAAGATATTCCCCATCCATCGCCTAATTAAACAAATTTTCGGCTGATTTGTGGCGAATGTGTTGTGTCTTGCTTAAAAAAATGCCAGTCCTTAATTCACAGTCCTGACCATGTACATGATGTGGCCCATGATGGAAAGAAGTTGAACACCTCTGGTTTCAAGTGTGTGTGCGAGTGTGTGTACACGGAAACAAAATGTTTTCACCCTAATGCCAAGAGAAAAAGCCCAGCGGACAGGAGCGTCGTTCCCCCTGCCCCCCTCCGCCCTGCTCGAGAGGGTCAAAGGGGCTAGTGTGGGTGAGTGGTGAGGTTCTTTTTCCAGCTGCTGGTGAAATGCAGTTCAGGATACTGCAGAGTAAAGTTTCAAATGAAAGGAGATCTTTTTTTTTTTTTTAAACACTTTCTGTGTGGCTGCAGTGTAAACAGGAAACCCATAATACATCGCACACGTCACCCAAGATGTTATGTGATCAAAACAAAAGATGAACTTTAAAAAAAATTGCCTTGACAAAGCTAGTAAATAAAGCTGTTTTAATGAGAGATATTTTGTACACTAGGTCATTTGAAGCAGAGTACCGTAACCTGTCTGAGCGGATTTTTGAAAACATCTTGTTATATTTGGACTTTGGATTTTCAGCTTTGGAGCTCTTAAGTCTACAGTATCGAAAATAGCAATTGTTTACTCTTGGCGGAATGAAAAGGAAGCCGAAATATTGCGTGGACAGGCTAAATGTGGGATGCAAGCAAGGTTTTTGGGTCAAGCGTATGCATTGTGAAAACAGTCTTGGTTTATTTTTTCCAAGACCAACGATGCATCACCGGCTTTGGCCACGTACACGGTTCAATCCACCAATTCGGTTTAAAATAAACGGCGAATCCCACATTTTTAGCAGCGTGCCTCCCACGAGCACCTTTTGCAATGGTTTCCAAGCTAAATGCAACAAAATGGCACCGGACAGTTTTAATTGGATACATGTGTGTGCAAACTTCAGATTCCAATCTGCTGCTTCCTGGAGTACATTGACAGCTACCCTGCATCTGTTAGTAATTCCTAACACTGCTATTTGGTAAACTGCACTCTTACAGAAGAGCTTTTGCAAAAAGAATTCCGGAAACTCTTTAAGGCTCGTCTGAAACGTCGATTAAGCTCTGTTTAAAAACTCGGTCAGGCGATTGCCGTTTGTGTATTCAAGGCGAATGTTTTTGGAACGAGCTTCCAATGACTCAACACGGTTGGCCTTTATATCGCAATGCGGTGACTTTAAAACTAAAGAGAGCTCATAGTGTTACTTTAGATCGCATCGGTGTGTTTTACAACTCCGCTGCCCACCTTGACAATCTAATCCCACCAAATGGCCAGAAAACCTGACAAAAAAACGTGGCTGACCGAGTATCACGTGCAGTTTTCCACCAGACAGCTTGTTTACTTTCACAGACCACAAAGCGAGCTAAAGGGCATTCCCCAGGAGCCTCTTCATTATCCCCGCCCCCCCTCCGCCGTATAACTGTCAAATTCGAAATACCGCGACAGACACTGTGGCCACAGCATATTTTCATACCTGTCCCGGAATTCCAGCTCGCTTTTAAATACTTCTCTGGTGGCTGATTATTCCGAAAGAACTGTAGAAGAGGTGACTTTATTCTTTTTACATTACGGACAAAATAGACGTGGCAATGACAGGCCAGTGGACGCTTCCGTTTGTTCTTTACAATTCGCTTTCTTCCACAAGAACCTGGAGGCCTGATGCGGTGCGCGGTGCAGCGGTGACGAGCCTTAAGGGCTCTATAAACTGATCGGTGAAAGCCCCCTCTAATTATAAAGCCTCACGCCTGCTACCCAACCCGCCATCTAAGGAGGACGCAGCTTGCCAATTACAGGAGGCCAAAAGTCAACATTTGAAAATCGTTTCATCTCCATTTTGTCTAAATCGAACATTTTTTTTGTTTTCCTTTTGCAGGTTGTCTTTATCTGCTTACTCATCATCATCCTTGCACTGGTATTTCCCTACAAAGGTCCCAAAAACGGTAGGTTTGACTGTTTGTTGGTTGGAAAAAAAAAGAAAAGAAAAGAAATGTTGTCCAAAAGGCTTCGGTTCAAATCTCCTGCTGCAATGCTCATGGAAGCCTCGCTCAGCTCAGCTGTGCGCAGCTGTCCCTGTCCTGGGTGGGGTGTCTTCTCTCTGCCGGCACCACCCGTTTGTATTTACTTACTAGTCTGTATTTTCGATTTAGCGTGGCATGGAAACCGTATGGAACAAATTAGACTTCACCACAGCCTTCTTTTGCCACGAGACAGACGAGGGCATCTTTCTGGAGACTTTACCATCGCCCATAAAACGCGCTCATCGATAAGAAATATCGAAGAATAGTGGAACCTTGTGTACTTAACATTATTTCCCTTGGGGAAACTTCAGTCATGGATTTAATGACAGCTTCTTTTTTTTTTCCCCCCCCAGATGATGGTGTGCACTGGCTGCAGCAGGTTGACTCTGTGGCAAGTGAACAGCCAAAGTGTCCACCAAGGTAGCGCTTTTACTTGTGCCATTTCACGCATGTCTACGATACCATAGTTACGCAATACCTGTCTCCACCAATTTCCATCACACTGTGGTGCCTTGAAATACAAATGAGCCGACTCGCAAGTTTTTCTGGATGCAAGCCATATTTGAGACAGGGTTTTGTTTTTTTTAAGTTTTGTTTTTTTTTGCTCTCACTTGCAAGCTGTATATATGTACAGTGGCAGTGCCCTCAACTGACTTCACAACAATTCTTATATAAAGTCAATTATTGTGTTCTGCTTCTGTAAATAATGCCATTGACTGGCGACGCCCACATGTATGGGGAGTGAGTAGCGACCATTGTTCCGAGCAAACTGTTCTCAGCTTGAGGCTTGGGAAAACAAAAAAGAATTGTCTGTCGCTGCCTGGATGTTCCGTCTTCTTGCAGCTTATAAAAAACAAAAAAAAACCAAAACAAAAAACGTGATCTTCTGTGATGGAAGTCTTTTTTTTTTTTTTTTGCAAGTGTGGAAAAATAACTGTTTCTGTGGAAACCCTATCTTATGACTCAGGCATGTATTTGTGTATTAGGTGTGTGTGTGTGTGTGTGTGTGTGTGTGTGTGTGTGTGTTTTCCCAGACAGGCCTATTACAACATGGAAAAAAGGAACCGTTGGCACGAAATGAAATTATTCTCGGTTGCGGCACCTTTTTGCTGATGCGTGGTGTTGCTCATGAGGCTTTATAAAAACTTCCTCATGTTGTGCTTTTTGTCTGGATTTATGTGCTTCTGCATCTTGGGAGCATGATTACGCAAAAACAATCCGGCTTACGTCAACCACATGTTGATTGTCCTTCCTTACTCTCCCCTTGGAAGTTTCTCATTAGTCTTCCCGCCTCCTGCTCAGTTTCACCAGGTCGCCCCTCATCCTGGTATCCTTGGACGGTTTCCGAGCAAAGTATCTGAAAGATCACAGCAGCCACATACCCGTCATCAGCAAGTTACGTAAGTGGCCAAAAGTTGCCTTTTTTTTTTGGTGGTATCTGGTGGTTGAGGAAAACTTAAGGTGACTGTGCTGCAGGAGCCTTGGGTACAAGCGCGTCACATATGAGGCCGGTGTATCCCACAAAGACGTTCCCGAACCACTACTCGATTGTCACTGTAAGTGTTGGCTGCGCCTTGTCCGTTTCCTCGTGTGCCCGCTTTGTGCTCTGGAAGTAAGATCGGGGTTTGTTGAAGGGAATAGCAGAGGTCTGGACTACTCTCTGATTTTTATTTGCTGCAGGGCCTTTACCCAGAGTCCCATGGGATAGTTGACAACAAGATGTACGACGTCACCCAGAATATATTCTACAGCTTGAAAACGGAGGAGAAATACAACCCCAGATGGTACCAAGGAGAGCCGGTGCGTAAATCATGCCGGGTACTTGTTTTGGGGGTTACGTGTGCAGGATTGTAAATAATCAACTCTGTTTTTTCACTTCTCGCCAGATCTGGATCACCGCCATGCGGCACAAATTAAAAACAGGAACTTTCTTCTGGCCCGGTTCAGATGTGGCCATCAATGGCAGCTTCCCAGATTTCTACAAAGTCTATGACAAGTAAGAGTAGCACCGTTCACACGATGAGGCCGAGTCAAATCATGTGACTCGAGTCTCTTACTACCTCCACCTCATAAAGTGTGAACAGTGCTACTTTAAGGCCACATCACGTAATATTGCGCGGTGATCCTTTCTCTGTACAGAAGCACCACCTTCGAAACCAGAGTGTCAACACTGTTTGAGTGGCTGGATTTAGCTCAAGGAAAACGGTATATATTCATATATTTTTTTAGGATATTTGTAATTCAATCTCACAAGGCTGACATACTCTCCTTGGAGAAACTGACTGCTGAATGTGTTTTTTTTTTTTTTTTTTTTAAAGACCCGACTTTTACACGTTGTACCTGGATGAGCCTGACTCATCGGGGCATCGCTACGGACCAGAAAGCAGCCAGGTAAGGCTTTTTGTCAACGGGTCACAGAAAAGTCAGGTTGAAAAAGGCATGCTTGTTTGCGCTGAAGGTTACAATTCTTTTTTTTTCGATCGTAATGATGAATTTTGACACTTGTAATTTGTTCTCTAGCTCATCGATGCCCTAAAGAATGTGGACCGGATTATGGGGATGCTACTGGATGGTTTGATGCACAGGGACTTGCTCCACTGCGTCAACCTAATCATCATATCGGATCACGGTGAGTGAAGAGCAGTCTCGGCAAGCCGACGCGGTGGGTTTGCTTGGCTTCACCGGCCGAGCAGCCAAAAACGACGAGGAAATACGACAAATGTCACCCAAAAGCCCCACCCTGACAGAAAGTTGGATGTCGCAAAACCAAGGTGGTGCCATCTTAGCTCGTCTGAAGTCTCTGTGGCTTCACAGTCCAAAGACATCCAGTCCGCCCAGATGGCTCAGAGGCTTACATTTGCTTTCCAAATGTTTGACTTGCTTGAGTCACTGCGTCTATCACGAGGGAGATCACAAAATGGGTGTGTCAACTGAGGAAAAAGTGCTCCCAGCTGTTTAAATTACAAGAGATAAATAAAAGAACACGCCCATTGTAAAATACCAGGTTTTAAAAACAACAACACACAATTAGAATGGAACATAATTCTTATGTATGTTAATTACATAATTATAACATCATGAAGATTTTGCGTGAGTTGGGGGTCTTTTCAGCTGAGCGTGGCAGCGAAGTTAACCAGCAACCAAATGAAAATGGCTCATCAAATAGTCCCGAATGTTGAAAACAAAAATTCAATATACTAGAATTTTCTACATTCCTCCGGTGTCTGTTGTTTTTTTTCCAGGCATGGAAGAAGCAACGTGTGAAAGGGCAGCATTTGTATCTTCCTACCAGAACGACACCGACGACTTCGCGGTCATACAAGGCGCGGCGGCTCGTATCAGACCCAAACGCCTGCCAGATGACTTCTTTTCCTGTGAGTTCCGAGCACCCCAACTTGCCAACCGCACTTCCAGCAGGAAATCTGAGTGCCTTTTGTTTCTCTCCACGCAGTCGACTACGAGGGCCTGGTGAAGAACATGTCGGTATGCAGAGAATCCCAAACCTGACTTAGTGTATTATCTGCTTGCTTTGCCTCATGTGCAACCAAGCCGCCGTGTGTTGATCCTGCATGCTCGGTGTCTGTTTTGAAGTGCAGGACTCCCGAGCAGCCAATGAGGCCGTACCTTAAAGAGAACCTGCCCAAACGCTTTCATTTTGCCAACAATTTGAGGATCGAGAGAGGACACCTGTATATGAGAGAAGGCTGGCAGGCGGCGCTGTAAGTCATCGTTTGCCATTCGGGTTAATCGCTCGTTTAAATATTTAAGCAACATTTGAATCAACATTGCTCAAATTGTATAACTTTTAGATTTGTGTTTATTTTATTTTATTTATTTTAGTTTAAATAGTTTATTTAATGTATTTTTTTATAAATTATAAATTGAAAAAATATATTTTATTTTAATATAAATATATTATATTTATTATATATATATATATTATTTATTAAATTTTATTATAATAAAAATATACATTATAAATTAAAAATAATTAAATAAAATAGTTTCTTTATTTTAAACTAAAACTAAGTTTATTTTAAAAGAATATTTTAAACGAAAAGCTTGCTGGTTAATCCGTTTGCCACCAAAGTGAGATCGGGAATTAGCTTAACGACTGGATGGCCAGTTCTTTGAAAAACAAAACCGTATAAAAGTATTGACAGATTTTTTATGGAGGAGCAGAACTGCCAATGTGTGTAAACATTTTTAGACTTGCAAATGTGTTCAAACGTACGTGCAAATACACTCGATGGTACGCGCAAATACGTGTTTGCTCATTAGCGAGCATTAAAAAAAAAAAATCGTTATTTCGCAATCTTTACGAGTTTTTTTCCCCCCAAACCTACGTTTAAAAACATTTTTTTCCACATGCACAAGCGCAATTAAATTTATCGTGGCATGGGGAAAATGCTTTGTTTTTAGCATTTAGCCTATAAGTGCATTTGAATGTCCATGCACATCCATTCGAACGTATTTGCCGGTCAAAAGCGTTGACCCCGCATTGACAGCTTGACACTTCCTTAGTCTTTGGCGCACGACTGAATATGATATACGGATAAACTTTTTGTCATTTCTTTGCGCACAGAAACCGCAAGGAAATCAAGTACTGCTCGGGTGGCTTCCATGGTTCCGATAACATTTTCGGCAACATGCAGGTGAGACAAAAGCAGGGTGTTCGTCACTGAGCAGAAATATTGTGTTGCATAGAAACGTATGAGATACAGCGGGTTTAAGTCAAGGACGCCGATGAATGAGAGGCCATCAATCAGATAGGAAAGAAGGAAGCAATGTGATTTAGCTGGGGTTCTACATTCCTCATCTTGTCTTTTGCAGAACTGGAATCCTCTGGTTAGTCTAGCTCCATTTGAATGGAACCATACGGACTAAATATAGTACTTTTTTTTTTTTTTTAAATGACTAACTGCATGCCATTCAAATCGGAACCCATTCGTTTTCCCCCAGGCAATCTTCATCGGTTACGGTCCGGGATTTAAGAGCGACACGACCGTGCCTCCTTTTGACAACATTGAAGTGTATAACCTCATGTGCGGTAAGCGGCGCGATTATTAGCGGGACGCCGTTTATTCTGGGTTTCATCGGATGAAATGTTGTTCTCCACCCCGTCGCGCCAGACCTTCTCGGCATCCCTCCCGCTCCGAACAACGGCACGCACGGGAGCCTGAACCACCTCCTCAAGCGTCCCATCCACTTCCCCGTTCACCCCGCGCAGCTCTCCCACGATACGCCCTGCGAGGCCGCCGACTCCCACCCGGTTGTCCACCTAAACTGCACGTGCACGGCACTTCTAGAAGGAGCAAAGGTCAACTTTGTTTGCTTCCGTTCAATGCGGAATGAAGCCGTCATATCTTCACTGAATGAACCACACCTTCAATGACATCATTGACACTGCTCGATAGATTTCAATTTTATTCTCCCTTTAGGGTGAAGACATGGACGCGATAATCGCCACTCCAAATGCCAGTGAGTGTCTTTTTATTTTTCCGCTTTACATTCAAGTTTGATGCGATCACAAAGAAAAACAGAAATGTGTGGTTTTGCACGTAGGGAGTGTATTCATAGTTCGGCGTGCCAACCCGTGTTGTATTTTTAGACCTTTTATTTTAGTCGTTCGGGTTTGTGGCCAGCAGTTTGGCGCTTTTCTATTTTCCGCGGGCCAAAGTTCCCTTGTTTTTCCAAAATGAACAGGAGCCAAACCTTGACGTTCCCTTTTTTTTTTCTCCTCATTTTGAGTCATAATGTTGTTAGAGGATGTCTTACAAGTCTGGCGGTGCGAATCTTGACGTCTTTTTGAACGCTTGCCTTTTCTCTGGCAGCTGTCAAATCGAGCTTACGTCGCCTGCACCATCCTTTCGGCGTTCCCAGCGTCGTCCAGCCAGACGCCACCTTTTGTCTGCTTCACCAGCCCAACTACATCACGGGCTACAGCCACGACCGTCACATGGCTCTCTGGGTGTCGTATACCATCCCGAATCTGGTTAGTCTTTCATCCCTAAACATAGCCTCGGCTCGTGGCTGATGTGGGTTTTGGATTGGGAGTCAATGAGGGGTTTTACTTTTACTGTCGGAATTCCTCCTCGAAGCTGCTCTTAGTCACGGCCGCGATGGTGTTGGCCTTTCTCATTGTGTGTTTTGTGTCAACAGTGACCTCAGGCAGAGCCCCGTGGTTCAGAATGATGATTTTTTTTTTTTTTCCATTCGCTCGCTATAAACAGGATACGAGTGCATTGCGATAAATTAGAACGGCATGGAAAACTTGATTCAAGATTCACACAGCGAAATACTTCCTGATTTTATTGATTCAAGCTTACATAATACATGAGCTTCATTTTTATCTATTCGTTTGTTTATTTGTTTTACTGATATGAATGAACTTTTCGACCATATCGTGAACATAGCTTCATAAATTTCGGGTCGCCCTTGCTCTTTATTTGCCAATTGCTACTAAACTTAACTGGGCTTGTCACTTCCAAGCCTGCTTATATATTGTCGGAATGTTGTTTCTAACTCC